AAACTAGGGAGGGCAAGGAGGCTCATTTGAACCCCTTCGATGAAAAATTACATTATTTATACACGATTAATATAATTTTTTATTGTCACTGACGATGTTTGACTCAGCATGAAGTTTTTTTTAAAAACAAAAACAAAATTGAAACTTGTGACGTTAGAGCTGCAATGACATTGATGTGGCTATAATATAAAACCATACGATATAAAGTTAAATTATTTTTAAATATATCAAATGACTCATTCTATTTCAGAGCGTACTAATTAATTTGGAAACAGTGTCACATGAAATGAAAGAAAAAAAAAGGTACAGTATTTATCACAAATATGCTAATAACGTGTTTTTTTTTTGTAAGGTGAGCAATTGGGTATGGAGCCAACATTACCATATTTGGCTCCACAACTCACAGGAGATAGGCTTCTTGTTGGAGCAAACTTTGCTTCTGCTGGAGTTGGAATCCTTAATGACACTGGCATCCAATTTGTATGTGAAATTCAACTCATTAATTTCATTAATTTTTGCCTATTTAACTCAATTAATTTGGAATAAACTATAATAGTACTTCCTCCGTCCCATTTTATGTGGCAACATTTCCTTTCTGGTCAGTCCCAAAAAGAATGTCACATTTCCTTATATGGAAAGTATTTAAATGTACAATTCCTTTTTTACCCTTATTGGTCCCACTTAATCTTAAAATAATACTCCAATACATTTATGAGAAGAGAGAAAAGTGAGTCTACTTTTTAAAGGGCAATTTGGTAAACATTTCAAAGTCTTCATTTATTTCTTAAACTCCGTGTCCGGTCAAATGTTGCCACATAAAATGGGACGGAGGGAGTAGTTTAATTTGTTGCCTATTTTTCATTCTGCTTTTCTCTTTTCTTTTTTCTAAATTGTGTTCTTTAACTTAGTTTCAGTTGGCATTTATGATCTTCAACTTTGAATGTGCACAAATAAACACTTAAACTTGTATAAAATTGAATCAATAGACACATTTGTCCTACGTGGTGTCCTACACAACAATTTTGTGTCCTATGTGACATTCTATGTGTATTATGTCACGTAGGACATGTGTCTACTTGTTTAATTTTATACAAATTTACATGTCTATTTGTGTACACCCAAAACTGAAGGACATATATAGATATTAACTGAAACCTAATTAAATAACATATTATGTGTTATGTCAAACTTAAATGATGGATTCTTAAATTATTGGATACTATGCACATAGCACTAGAAAAATTGTGAATGTCTACTATAGTACTATATATTCTATTAGTTTAGCAATAAATAAAAACACACATTTAATGTTGAGACTGTTTGTATTAGCTTAAAAGCCGGTCAAATCACCTTAAAATACTTCGTAATTTCTTTTGATGTACTTTTCAACCAAATCACACGCGCATCAATCGCTTATTATCAGTTCCAATACTTAAACCAAAACATGTAATTGTTTATTCATATATTCAATTGCAGTACTTGATGCTTAAAAGCTACTTAAATATAGTAAAGTGGCATGCTAAGGTTTATATAGTTTATATTATAATTGAATTGTATGCTATTTTTTCAGTTTAATATAATCAGAATTGCGAAACAATTGGAGTACTTTGAACAATATCAAAGGAGAGTAAGTGGTTTAATTGGAGCAGAACAAACAGAGCAGTTAGTGAACAGTGCACTTATCCTCATCACTCTTGGTGGAAATGACTTTGTTAATAACTACTATTTGGTCCCTTTCTCTGCAAGATCTCGACAATTTTCTCTACCTGATTATGTTGTTTATCTTATCTCTGAGTACAGAAAAATATTACAGGTAATCTCTCTCCATTTATATATACGAATCGAATTATTGTTAACAAAAGTTAATTAACTGAGCTACGAAGATTGATTTCGGAAGAGTAGGGACATACTTATATGATGAATGTTTGGTTGGTTGGTGCGACAGACTAACATATCATCACATGGTCATCAAGACCCCTATCTGAAAATGTGCATTTATTGGAAACAAATTATGCACCACCTACCCACACCTAGGTCCCCTACATAAGAGGAAATTTTCAACGCGGTGGAGCCAGAGTTTTTATTGAGCGGTTAAAAAAACATGTTAAATAGTGCTATCAAATAAACTGTAAACATTGAAAAATATTGCTAGCCAGATTTGAACTCACATGCCTACTAGTTTCTGAACCCCCATAGCTATTGAATCAAGCCTTCCCCTTACTTGTGGTGAGGGGGTTCAATATTAAATATATAGACATAAAATATAGATTTGATCCTATATATATAGTATAGTGGAGTATAATTTTTCGATTCAGAACAAGTAAAAGTTAAAATTTGTTTTTGGAATATGGATAAGTAAAAATAAATAGAAAGAGTGATTTAGAATAGATATCGTGGACAAGTAATATAAGACGGAGAAGTTGTTAATTGGTATGTTTTTTCACTTTTGCAGAAGTTGTATGATTTGGGAGGAAGAAGAGTATTAGTGACAGGTACTGGACCAATAGGTTGTGTGCCAGCAGAATTAGCACAGAGGAGTATAAGTGGGGAATGTTCAGTGGAATTGCAGCGTGCAGCTGCTTTATTCAACCCTCAATTGACTCAAATGTTGGCTGATCTCAATTCACAAATTGGTGCTAATGTATTTATTGCTGCTAACACATTTACTATGAACATGAATTTCGTATCTAATCCTCAAGCTTATGGTAATCAATCTCAACATACACCAATGCCCCTAATTTTTCTCCTTTCGTTCATGTTTATTTGTCCATTTTGAATTTTGCATTCCCTTCGTAAGAAGTAGCGATTGATATGAGTATTTTATTGCTATATTCATATTAATTGATATTTAATATTAGGTTTTGGAAAATGATTAGGAGAATAAGTAATTACTGCTAAGGATGAAATATGAAAAAAATAATTATTTCTTATATATGTCGTTAAATATGACAAGTAAAAGTAAAAATCTATTTTTGGAATGATAAAGAAAAGTGAACGGAGAAAATATATATCCTTAATAGAAAGTGTATAAGAACTAAGAAAAATGTAATTACCCTTGTTAAACGGAGTTAATTGACACCCTTCATTGGTCAGAAAACTATACTATGTAAGTAAGCTAGTTTCTTTTTTATATATATAGTATGTTGAATTTCTTTGACACGATATATGTATTTCATTTCTTTGTCACTCTATATATACTTCTTTATATTTTGACTTCCGTCTATTGACTCAAAGTTTAGCGTACTGATAAAATCAATAAGTGTGAATTCGATTTTCATGATTTGATTTGAGCAGGATTTGTGACATCAAAGATAGCATGTTGTGGACAAGGACCCTACAATGGAATAGGGCTATGTACACCATTATCAAACTTGTGTCCAAATAGGGACATATATGCATTTTGGGATCCATTTCATCCATCTGAAAGGGCAAATAGGATCATTGTTCAGCAGATATTGACTGGTTCTTCTGAGTATATGAACCCAATGAACCTCAGCACCATTATGGCTTTGGACTCTAGGACCTAATTAATTAATTAATTCTCCTCTATGTTTCAACAATTTATCATTTATTTGTGTCTTGTTTCATTTTGAGTGTGGTATCTTAAACTATATATTATTATTATTATTATTGGGTCGTCACCTTTTTTTGTTATATTTTGTAATATCATAAAACTAGAGGAGTGGTGTTGGTACGTAATATATATGTATGTGCGGAATGGTTCTTGATTTACCTTCATAAGGTCATTGTAATGTTAATGGAGTTCAGTTTTATCATTTCGTGTTACAAGTTTTCTATATTAAAGTGTTACATATATGTAATATATAGGTATGCGTCTTTTATAAGAGATTTTCATTTTTATACGTACGAGATTTAAAAAGATTATTTTCTTTTATTCAAATTATAACAGGACAAGAAATTTCATTTCATCGTGTAAGCATGTGTTGAAATGAAATGAAAGTTGCCGTTTCCTTATCAATAATTTCACAAATTTTAGATGCTCTAATTTTTATATTTATCATTCTTTACCTTAATTTTAAATCTATATATTTCATTTTCCGAAGAAATAAATTTCTTGAAATTTTTCATCTCGAATTGTATCCCCCACCACCACACTCAGACTTACAAAAAGTTGGTTAAATTATTGGAGAATCAAATCAAACATGAAACGTTAAAAGACCTTAAACATAACTTTACTACAAATCATACATTCAAGTATAGTTTTCCAACTTTTTATCTTACAGCATTCTTCACTTTGGCAAACCATAAAAGATGAAATATGTATTGGTTGGACTTTTGAATCGCCGGAAAAGTCTGGCGTGTCACCAAAGTAGTCCGGAAAAGTCTGGCTTGTCACCAAAGAAGTCTAGTCTAGTCGAGTCGACTGGGTTGGAGTCACAATGGCAATCTAAGAGTGCAACTGTGTAAATTTGAAAAGGAAACTCTAAAATTACCTTTTAACTTTTAAACCCCTAAATTGCTTGCTCTTTTTTTTTAAAAATAAAAAATAAAAAAATACAAAAGGCGACGGCCTTTCTCGCCATGGGTCACCTTTTGAAAATACCTCACCACAAAGCTAATAGGCGATGAAGGGTCGCCTCACCTCACCTAATCGCCTTTCAGGGGCTACATAAATAGTGTTTGGGCAATAATGGGGATTTTTAACTGCATAATGAATACAAATGAAAGGTTGGGACAGAAATCAGGGAATTTAGGCAATGTGCTGAAGAATGTGAGCTTCAAAGACCTCAAATTATGAGGGTCCTTTCATTTGGATTTTGGAATAATAAGCAAAAGGGGGGAGAAAGAGTATCGTCTTGATTAACATGGATTGGATTACACAACTGCCAGCATCTGAAGTCTGCTTTATGAATGAAGGGATCTATGATCATTGCCCTGCAATCATAAGCTTTATGGAATTGTATATGAATTTTGTTTTGTTTGTTTAAACAAAACTTAAAGGCCTCATTGAAAGTAAAACATGCAAACTGACAAATGAAGAAAAAGAAAAGCAACCCCCACAACTCTTATTGTCATCCCTACATTCAAGATAGTTTAATATTACATAACCTGCATCTACATTCAAAATATACAACATGAGCCCCAAATATGGGGGGTTAACAAAGAGAAAATGTTAAAACTTTTCTCTTACTTATGGAGATCTACGAAGCTCACTAGTCCTCGAATTAACTGCTAAACAGAAGGCTCTTGTTAAATCAGATAACTTTCACTGGACATTACGTTATTCAATGGGGCAAAACTCCACAACAAGATGGCTCTAAAAAGAAAGCTGCTTCGTCACATTCTCATTCCTCCGCCAGATATGCATCAAAGAGCATACTAGGTCACACATGTGAGAGGAACACATCAAAACAACAAGAGTACCTGACACACTTCAAGACCCAAAGCTTGCACTGTTGCTCAAAGGGCTAAAATGATTGTCCCATGTTTTGGCATTCGCGACATCTCTGACAACACCCAATTCATTCACAGGAGTTGGTCAAGTTGCAGGTTTGCTCCTCCCATTTGGCATCGTAGTATTCCCACTGGAATCCCGCTTTGCTTTGAAAACACCCCAGAGATAGTACTTACCCTGAAATCCTGCCAATTGATTTTCTAAGCAGATTAACAACGAGCCTCAGATAACGCAAAACCTAGAAGACATGGTGATATTTAATCTGAACACCCTTAAATTCAAGTTTATAGTGTGGCATTCAAGTTGGCAGGCTTATGACGGTAAGAGTTCAGATTTTATTTTATTATATTATACTACAAGTGGGTCCAAACTTCCTGGTGACTATATTTTTAGGAGAAATAACTTCTGTCAAATTTAAGAGAGTTCTCAAAAAGCATTAACCCATTGGCAATATGACAAGTTATAAACCTTCATCTTTTATAAGTATGAAAGATAGATGCTGGTTTAATTTGTTCACTTTGCTGAAAGGATATGATAAGAAGCAACTGTCTAAGAAACTGGACTTGATCCAATATGCGCATAGCTAACTCTGCCCTGTGCTTTGGCTTGAAAAAATGAACCATTTGAAGTCTCCCTTTTCAAAGCCACAGGAAGGCACTGTCTCTCTGCCTTAACATTTTTTTGGTAATCTGACCACCAATCCTCGACTTCTAATTACCGTATCTCCTTTCAATCAACGACAAAAATTCTCCAATTTCTTTCAGTTTTTCCCATGAAGTTAACTTCGTCATCAGTTTGAACTTTTAATAGCATAAAAGTGGACCTGAAGCGCTTTGTTAGAATAGAAATAAGTATTTCCTACTTAAAATAGGAATAGGAATAGGAATCCTAGTTGGAAAAGGATTCTAATGTAATGTCTATAAATAGGATCTCAATGTAACAATTTAGATACACAATTCAATAATATTTTTCCCATATATTTCTCAGATGGCATTAAAGTATTGGTGAGAAACTTCAAGTCACCGTGTCAAATTCCGGTGACAACGGTTGGGACTGATTTGTGTCATCTTTCGTTCTGAAGGTGTTGTGCGAAAGACAACATCATCACGACGCTCGGGAAGCTCAGGCGACCGAACCCCAATTAGATCCACCGAAAAACAGCCCCTCACGCGCCTCCACGCACCGTTCGAAGGTGGAAGTTTTCCGGCGAGATCTGGTCACGCGCTGGCGCGTGAGTGCTGCTCCGGTCATCTGTTTTCGAGCAGTTTTCTTCTGTTGGGGTCATCCAGTATTTCCGACCAGAACCCATTTAGTTTTCTCCAGATCCGATCACCGGAATTAGGGTTCCGGTGATTTTCAGGCAGTTTCCGGCGAAATCAGACCACTGTAGGGCAGTTTCCGGCAAGTTCCCGGCAAAATCAGAATTTTCAGGCCACTGTGGGCAAATTCCGGCAGCTTCCAATATTTTCAGACCACTGTAGTAGTTTCCGGCAGTTTCCAGCCTACATAGCAGCTTATGGAGAATCGACGAGGGGGAGAACGTTTTGGAAAACCTCAATCCAAGTGTAATCATTGTCATAAACCTGGACACACTCGTGACATATGTTATATTTTGCATGGTTCACCACCCAGTTATGATCTTATTGTTCTAAAGTAATATAATGAGCTCCTTCGAAATCGCGCAAGTTAACAATGTTTTGGAAAACCTCGATCCAAGTGTAATCATTGTCATAAACCTGGACACACTCGTGACATATGCTATATTTTGCATGGTCCACCACCCCGTTATGATCCTATTGTTCTAAAGGAATATAAAGAGTTCCTTCGGCATCGTGCAAATAAACAAACGTCTCCACAAGTAGTTTCGGTTGCACAACCTGATTCTTTTACTTGTGTGTCACAGTCTAGCACTCTTGGATCATGGGTCATAGACTCAGGGGCTTCTGGTCATATCTCTCGTAATAAATCACTTTTGTCTGATATTGTTTATTCACAATCTCTTCCAGCTATTACTTTAGCCAATGGGATCCAAACAAAACCAAAAGGGGTTTGAAACGCCAAACCCGTATCTTCTGTCACCCTAGACTCTGTTCTTTATGTCCCTGGTACTCTTTTTAATCTAGCATTTGTTAGTCGTTTGACGAAAGCCCTACATTGTAGCATAACCTTTTTTGATGATTTTTTTCTCATGCAGGACCGCAGTACGGGACAGATGATTGGAACAGGACATGAATCACAAGGCCTTTACTATCTTACCTCTTCAAATTCCTTTACATCATGCTCGGTTACAGATTCTCCAAATCTAATTCACAAACGTTTGGGACATCCAAGTCTATCCAAACTGCAAAAGATGGTGCTTAGTTTGTCTAGTTTATCCACATTAGATTGTGAGTCGTGTCAACTTGGGAAACACACTCGTGCTACATTTTCACGTAGTACTGAGGGTCGTTCAGAGTCTATTTTTTCATTAATTCATTTTGATATTTGGGGTCCTAGTAGAGTCAGTTCCACCTTAGGATTTCGTTATTTTGTTAGTTTCATTGATGATTATTCGAGATGCACTTGGGTTTTCTTAATGAAAGATCGTTCTGAGTTATTTTCTATATTCAAAAGTTTCTTTGCTAAAATACAAAATCAGTTTGGTGTTTCTATTCGTACTTTTCGTAGTGATAATGCCTTAGAATACTTATCATCCCAGTTTCAGGAGTTTATGTCTCACCAAGGAATTATTCACCAAACATCTTGTCCATACTCCTCAACAAAATGGTGTAGCAGAAAGAAAGAATAGGCATCTCATTGAGACTGCTCGCACTCTCCTAATTGAATCCCATGTTCCGCTGCGTTTTTGGGGAGATGCAGTCATTTCATCTTGTTACTTAATTAATAGAATGCCCTCTTCTTCTATTCAGAATCAGGTTCCACATTCCATACTGTTTCCTCAGTCACATCTCTATCCTATCCCCCCTCGTGCTTTGTTCATAATTTAGCCTAGGGAAAGATAAATTAGCTCCTCGTGCCCTCAAATGTGTCTTTATTGGTTACTCTCGAGTTCAAAAAGGGTATGATCTTCATCGATACCTTATGTCCGCTGATGTTACATTTTTTTAGTCTTAGCCTTACTATACATCTTCTGATCATCCTGATGTATCTATGGTCTTACCCATACCTCAGGTTTTACATGTGCCAACCTTTGAGGAATCTACGGTTACTTCTACATCTCCAGTTGTAGTGCCACCATTACTAACTTATCATCGCCGTCCACGTCCAACCCTAGTCCCAGATGATTCATGTCATGCACCAGACCCTGCTCCTACTGCGGACTTGCCTCCTCCTAGCCAACCGCTTGCACTTAAAAAAGGTATACGATCCACTCGAAATACTAACCCACATTATACCTTCTTAAGTTATCATCGTCTATCATCACCCCATTATGCCTTTGTATCATCTTTGTCCTCTATTTCCATTCCTAAGACTACAGGTGAAGCACTTTCTCATTCTGGATGGAGGCAGGCTATGGTTGATGAGATGTCTGTTTTGCATAAGAGTGGTACTTAGGAGCTTGTTTCCCTTCCTGCAGGTAAATCTATTGTTGGTTGTCGTTGGGTTTATGCAGTCAAAATTGGTCCAAACGGTCAGGTTGATCGACTTAAGGCTCGCCTTGTTGCCAAAGGGTATATATACTCAGATATTTGGGCTAGATTCTAATGACACTTTCGCTCCTGTGGCTAAAATAGCATGTGTCCGCCTTTTTCTATCTATGGTTGTCGTTCGTCATTGGCCTCTTCATCAGTTGGACATTAAGAATGCTTTTCTGCATGGTGATCTTGAGGAAGAAGTCTATATGGAGCAACCACCTGGTTTTGTTGCTCAGGGGGAGTCTAGTAGCCTAGTATGTCGATTGCGTAGGTCACTTTATGGTCTGAAACAGTCTCCTCGAGCTTGGTTTGGGAAGTTTAGCACAGTAATTCAGCAGTTTGGCATGACTCGTAGTGAAGTTGATCACTCTGTGTTTTATCGGCACTCTGCACCAAGTATATGTATCTATTTGGTTGTTTACGTTGATGATATTGTTATCACCGGTAATGATCAAGATGGTATCACCGATTTGAAGCAACATCTCTTTAAGCACTTCCAGACTAAAGACCTTGGCAGATTGAAGTATTTTCTAGGTATTGAGGTTGCTCAGTCTAGATCGTGTATTGTTATTTCTCAACGCAAGTATGCCTTAGACATTCTTGAGGAGACAGGAATGATATGATGTAGACCTATTGACACTCCTATGGATCCCAATCTTAAACTCCTTCCAGGACAGGGGGAGCCACTTAGTAATCCTGAAAGGTATAGATGGCTTGTTGGAAAGTTGAATTATCTCCCAGTGACCAGACCTGACATTTTTTTTCCTTTGAGTATTGTAAGTCAGTTTATGACTTCCCCTTGTGATAGTCATTGGGAAGCAGTTATTCGTATTCTGCGATATATAAAGTCAGCTCCCGGTAAAGTACTACTCTTTGAGGATCAAGGCCATGAGCATATCATTGGATATACAGACGTTGATTGGGCAGGATCACCCTCTGACTGACGTTCGACATCCGGATATTGTGCTTTAGTAGGAGGTAATTTGGTGTCGTGGAAGAGTAAGAAACAGAATGTGGTTTGCTCGATCTAGTGCGGAATCAGAATATCGAGTAATGGCGACAACAACTTGTGAGCTAGTTTGGATCAAACAGTTGCTGGGAGAACTAAAATTTGGCAAAATTGATCAGATGGAACTTGTGTGTGATAATCAAGCGGCTCTTCATATCGCATCAAATCCAGTGTTTCATGAAAGGACTAAGCACATTGAGATTGACTGTCACTTTGTCAGATAAAAGATACTCTCAAGAGATATTGTTACGAAATTCGTGAAGTCAAATGATCAACTTGCAGATATCTTCACCAAGTCCCTCACAGGTCCTTGTATTAATTACATTTGTAACAAGCTAGGTACATATGATTTGTATGGACCAGCTTGAGGGGGAGTGTTAGAATAGAAATAAGTATTTCCTACTTAAAATAGGAATAGGAATCCTAGTTGGAAAAGGATTCTAATGTAGTGTCTATAAATAGGGTCTCAATGTAACAATTTAGATACACAATTCAATAATATTTTTCCCATATATATTTCTCACACGCTTTTTTAGCAACACAATATACACAAAATAATGAGAAGCACGAGAACATGGTCTCCTGTTTAGCAAGCATATCATCTTCAGGGTAAACCAAAATAGGAAGGACATGTAGACAGTGAAACAAAGGATCAAATAACAACTCACTCCAGTATAGCAAGGGAAGTTCTGTAGAAGTGAAAACCAAAAGCTCAGCATTAGTTACGGTTGCTCGTAGAGCAAGTTCTTCGCCGATCATCTGCTCCACCAACTGATCGAACTCTTTTTCACATCTAAAGCAAGAAAAACAGAAGGATAATAAACCAAATTTTGATAAAAGAACCTGGTCAATGGTGAAAATAGAAAAGTAATTACCTTGTGTCTGATGGGAAAAAATACAATGCGATGTTGTCATCAGTGGGCTCTGATATGGTGAAACTCTTAGGCCATACATCAGACTTTGGAAGCATTTCCAGTTGAAGCAAAGCTGGAAACAAGCTTGCTTCTTCATAAACCTTTTGACATGCTTTAACCGATAGGTGAGCTAAAAGTCCATCAAATGTCTCATACTCTTTGTTCAGTATGTTAAAGCTACCCCTGTCAGATCACCATAGAGGATAAATTTGCATTAGCACCACAATAAATCCATCAGTTAGATTATATCCTGAGCTAAAATTCATGAAATATCTTCTGACCTCCAAATGAAATCGACAAGAGGCAACGCTCGTTCCTGGCCAGCATGTTTGGGTTCATTTGGCTGTTCACCTTTTGAAAATTGAGAAGGCTCTTCATTGAAAACAGTTCCAGATTGAGGTGTTAATCTTATATCTTTTCCAGGCACCGATTCCTTTTCTTGATGATTGACAGACGATGATATACTCCTTGTCTTTTCAATCATGCTAGAAGAATTACCCTGTGTGCTAGGCTGAACATCTCCCTCACAAGGTTTCTTCAAATGGCAAGCTTGAAAATTTTCTCTCGCTAGCTTGTCCAGTGTGGCAGTAACTTCTTCCTTTGATCGCTTAGCTGGCAATGGAGAAACATTAGCTGATTGAGTTCGTTCATTGCATGCAATGCTCGTCTGTGACTCATGGGATTGCTCAGAAGAGCTATGTACTAGTCTTGGCTCATATTTCTCATCTCTCAATGAGGTAGGACTAGATTTTTTCTTGCTCATCTTCATGCCTGAAGTATCACCCGCTATCTGGCGATGCTCTACCATTTCAATCCCAGAAGGTGGCTGCTGAAGTTGTTGAAGCCTACCTTCACACCTCTTTAATGTTGTCTCAGGAACATCAATATTTACTTCAGAACTCACTTTACAATGTCTTGAACTAGTGCAATCCTTATTTTCTACTGTGATGGCATCAGATTTCTTGATGTTTAGTTCGTCTAGCTCTTTCACTTCACAGTCATCGCAGACCCAATAAACAAACTCATCAAATGTCACATTTTCAAGGCAGTAGCTGAAAAAATAAGCAAAGATCAACAAACCATATAAAGAAACACAAAAGGATTACCTGTAATCCATCTTGGTTTTCAATTGCTCTTAACTGTTTATCTAGTTATCATTGATTAAATTTATTAAGTAATCGACTAGAATTTCGGAAGGCTCACAATCCACCTCCCCTCTTGTGCTTTCAGAAGATATTTGATTTAAGACAACCATCCATAAAGTTAAGCAACCAAAGATTGAGAGAAACAGGGGCAGATCTTTACAAACCAACATATTGAAGAATGTCCAATGCAAGGAGAAAAGGTAAATTAGTATGAACTAACAACTTTTAAGTTATATCCGAGTTGATAAAATACCAAAAGTTGCTACTTTGCTCAAATTCAAAAAAAATAAAAAGAAAAAAAAAACAGTACAGGTACTGGTTAGTCCACAACTTCCATTACATAACTGAAGTTCAAATGGAAAAAGGTTTCCAATGATTTATTAGCATAATTCCATCATAGGTTCATATAAACATTCCAGCTAGTTATAAAGACCATTGACACTCCATTCTGTAAAAACAAATAGAAACACATACACACACAATAAAAAGTAATGACCCAAACGAAAAGGGCCACTGGTCCATTGACTATTCCCAAACAAAAAAAGGGTTGTTAGCATGTTTATTGCTATAAGGGAAACTTAAAAGAGAACGAAAACATCAACAGCTATGCTAATGGAATTCACTCAACAGAACAAATCAACAAATTGCCCGCATTGAAACAAAAGCTGGAAAAATTGCCATATAAGAGGGAATATAGGGACCCTTGTTGAGGAAACAATCTTTGGCAATACTAATCATATCATACTATACTAAAAACGGGAAGGTGCTAAGTCAAATTGAAAGATAAAATGTTCATAAAAAATTGAACGACTATTTTACCCATCACTTAAATAATAGTTTTGTACTAACAAGTAAACTAACTTTCAAGAAAGTAATAAATTTGTATTCCCATAGTAAATGAGCAGAGAGGCATGTGGAGTTCCGGTGCAATCACTTGGCGGAGCCTATTCAAATTCTTGGTGTTGTTTTCATCTTCCTGTACACTATTGGAAATAATTCCTCACCTTTAAAATGCAAATCCAATGTTGTTCTTTCAGCTTTCAGTAATTATCATAGATTAATCTTTTTTTCACCCTTTCTTCCACTTCATCTAAGTGGGCAACTAAGTCAATTAAACAATTTCCCCCCATCAGATCATTTAAAAATATACTGTTCCTTTTATTTGGAAAATATACTCACCATTTGCAGCACACAACCAATCTACATATGTCAAAATTCCAGTAAGTTTTTTTCTTTTCCAGTTAGTTTTTGAGTATTGTGCTATTTCTGTAGTTCTTATATATATATACAGTGGAAACTGTGTTTTATTGATTCATTTCTTTTACTTGGAGAGTCTAATCGAGTACCTTGAAAAAACTCTACCTTTTTGTCTAGAATAATCTTGTCCAATTTTGATGTTAGTTATATTACTGCTTGATTTGTTCAGAAGATGCTAATAACTTGCTATATTCATATAACTTGCAAAAGAATAGTTTACTCATGTTTCAAATATGGTTTCTGTTTGCTTATTCATCTATTTCATAGAAAATGAAAAAAAGAATGTAACAAGTACTTGCAATGCAGTTGTTGCAGAATTGTATGGAATTGATAGCAGCGACAACAAGAAATGTAAGTGGTTTTGGTGATAAAAGTTGGGGCATTGAGGTTAGAAACATTTGCCAGAAAGGGGAGCAAACAAAATTCATTTTGAGGTGTACTATGAAATTTCTTGAACTATATATTTAACAGTTTTCAAAGCTCCAGCAGTATGAAGCGAATTTGTAATCTTTCATTTTACTCTGAACGTTCACTCTTTGCACTTTTATAGCCTAGGAACTACCCTCCCTTATGTGTAGAGGTGTATCTTGTTATTTGTATTTCATGCTCGTTTTTATTTATATTTCTTCTTGAATGCTTTAACTTCTGTGTGAAGCAAAAGGCCTCAAATTAATTTTTGCCCTAAACGTGTAATTATGTCTTGTTCTTTATGATTTTGAATAATTTGTAAATGAAAGTTAACGTGCTATAAGTATGTAAAAGAGAGCTTCTCCGAATTTGAAAATAATTGATGGGAAAGAGAACTTCTCCTTTAAAAATCCTTTATATGAGTATACAAGAAGTCGAAGAATAGGCATAAGCTATTAGGAATTAAAGCATTTCTTTTCAATTTGTAAAACACAATAGAGATAACATGTTACCCCGTTGCTCTCAATTTTCATGTGATGGACTAACACCTGATTCAATCACATTGAAAAGAGAATTATATCTATTGTGTCAAAGAACCTTACTTATTGTTGTCGTTGTCAACGAAACTACTCATATATATACATATAAATAGGTAGAATTTTTGCGTAGGATTGTCTATTATATGATTTCTAAAAGTTTATACTCATTGACATAGGGTTTACGCACACGTGCCCAGAACTAGTACAAATAAAATGCAAGCTAGTGGATGGTCTAATGGGTCACCTAAATTTTATCTTTTTCCAACATTAAGAAGAGAAGATGATATTGAATTAGTTATTAGTTAAGTTAATATTATAAAGTAAATGGAAGACAAAGAGTTTATTTTGGTTGTACTTAGGCCAAGACTGGTAATAGCACTAGCTACTAAGCTAAGCCTTCTAAAAGGTGGACATAAAGAATGGAGTAGGAACAACTAAAAATAACCGGAGAGAAAGAAAGGACCAAAATTTTCACAAGTCAGTAACCTAGATTCTATTCAAGACCAAAGAATCCCGACTGAGGATGAGAAACTACAAAAAGCACGCTTGGCTATGGAATTTGAAGAGGTAACAAGAAATGAAGAAATAGCTTTGAGACAAAGATCAAGGGTTCAATAAATAAAAAATGGAGATACAACACCAAATATTTCCATAAGGTGGCCACTACTCACAAGAGGTTCAACGCAATTGATATTCTGAAGGTAGAGGGAGAAGAAATCACTGGTCCTGATGGCATCAAGAACTCCACTATGAGCTTTTATCAAGAACTCTACAAGGAACCAGAGAACTGGAGGCCAGATTTCAACATATTATCATAGAAGAGCAAGATTGGCTGGAAAGATAATTTAAAAAAAGAGGAAATATTAAGGTTGTGATTGGTCCAAAGGGCGGGTCACAGATGGATTTCTCGGTTATCAAAAGAAAAAAAAAATAAAGAGGAAATATTAAATGATATCAAATTATGTATGGTGAACAAAGAACTCCGTCTAAATGGCTTCCCACCCAATGTCCTTTTTCCAAGATTTCTGGGAGATGTTGAAGGATGATATACTTCAACCACTACAGAATTTTCATTCCCAACAGGTTTTTGAGAAGAGTTTTAATGCAACTTATGTGGCTTTGATTCCAAACAAGGTGGGAGCTATTGAGTTGAGGGATCATAACTGGAATAAGCAAAATCATTGGTTAAGTGCTGGTAGAAAGACTAAAGAAGGTGATTGACAAGTTGATCAGGACTCATCAGTGGCCTTCATAAAGGGAAGACAAATTATGGAGTGATGTGCAAACTGGATACTGAGAAGGCATATGACCATCTCAACTGGAACTTCCTACTCTGTATCCTCAAACAAATGGGATTTGGCAACAGATGGTTGAAATGGATAGAATTCTGCACCAAAACTACCAGGTTCTCAATTTTGGTTAATGGAAAACCAGCTGTTTTTTCAGCAGAGAGGGACTCAGACAGGACTCAAAAGGGAGATCTTCTGTCACCCTTGCTATTTATCATAGCCATGGAGAGTTTCAACAACATGGCAAAGATTGCCACAGAAAACAGATGGATACAAGGCTTCAGAATTGAAAACAGGGTTGATGAGATACTGGAAATACGCCACCTACTTACTATATGCGGATGACACAGTAGTTTTCTGTAATGCTAAGCCTGAGCAAATCAGTTATCTCAGGGTGATGCTAATCATTTTCTAAGCTATATCAAGATTGAAAGTAAACCGGAGGAAAAAAAATATATTTCCCATCAATGATACTTCACAAATTCAGGTGTTGGCAAACATTTTGGGTTATGGGATGGAAAAGCTACCTACTGTATATCTTGGAATGCCTTTGGGTTCAAAACACAAGGCACTTGAAATCAGGGATGGCATTATTGAGAAAACTGGAAGAAGTTGGCATTGTGGAAGTCACAGTATCTCTCTTAAAGAGGCAGAATAATTTTAATCAACTCTGTTTTGGACTATTTACTAACATATGTGATGCCACAATTTCCCATGCCGAGTAAGGTAATCAAAGCTGTGGGCAGAATGAGAAGGAACTTTCTATGGCATGGCAACAAAGAGGCCAAAGGGTTTAATCTGATAGTACAACAGAACAGGGAACAAGGAGTATGGGGGTCAAAAAATTGAGCTGCAAAACAACAGTTGACTCATGAAATGGCTTTGGAGATATAACAAGGAGGGACAAGCCCTTTGGAAGGAGGTCATTCAACAGAAGTATGGGCAGATGAGCCATGGTGCACTGATGAAGTCACAGACACTTTTGGAGTTGGAGCTTGGAGAACTATTAGGTCCTTATGGGCACCTCTAAGTAGGAATATAAGCTACCATGTGGGTAATGGAAGAATGATATTTTTCTGGAAAGACAACTGGACTAGGAAAGACTCATTGCAGGAAACTTTCCCTGATCTAGTTGCTATCTGCACAAATCCAGACATCGCAACTTGAAGAGAGTGGACAGCACAAAGCTGGAATCTAATCTTCAGAAGACTGTTGAATGATTGGGAAGTAGAAAGGATGGTTAAATTGTAAGGATGAGGGAAATTTTCTCTGGGACAACCACTGGACAAGAACAATTAGATGGAGACACAATGAAGATGGGAAGTTCTCAGTGAAAGTTTACAAGAGGAGTCTATTTGAGATGGCAGAAAGTCTCAAGGGTCCATGGAAAGCTACTTGGAAAAGCATGGCACCAACAAAGGTGAAATGTTTTGTTTGGCTAGTAGTGAAGAAAGCATGTCTCACCCATGAGGCACACCAGAAGAAGAAACTTCAGATAGCTTTCCATGGAGGTGGCCAGCATACCCTTAATGCTAAGGAATACAAGTTACCAGTTTTCAAAAATAAAATCATTCACATGAGATGATTTACGGTTATTATATGTTATTATGGTGTTATCACCAAGTGATAATTGAAGAATACATGTAAGCAATTTATATGCATATATATGATATATGTATATTGAGATACTTGTAATGAGTAGCAACATTACATATTGTTGTCCAATGGCAGAACACATTACGCCTGGAGCACCTTGTACTAGAGAAAACTAGCAAAAAATTTATTTCACACTAAGACTCGACTGTCAACAGTCTGATATTGATTCTTTGGAAGCTCCCTCACAACTTGAGCAAAACCTAATTTGATAAAATTGTGAAGTATGTGTACTGATGCTCAGTTAATGTATTATGTAACTTTTACCCCCATATTACTTTGAATTGAAATGAGTGCTGTTTTTTATATTGTATATGTATGTACATATATACTTCTCTCCAAACAAAACGGCAATGGTTGATTGTCCACACACCGCTCACATTAATTGACCCCCTCTTTCTCATCCTTCAAAATTTTGTTAGTTGTCCTGGACTGCACCAGACTTGTGATCCACTAATAGAGAGAAAGATACTTTCAGTATTGCCCGGACAATTAGACATCCACAACCCAATTGCAATAGCGGAGAGAGCATTTCACTTTTTTATTTTTTGGACTTTTCAATCATGATTTTTGACATTTTTCTAGAATTATAATTCTCAAGTCAGTCACGGTAATTGGAGAGCTGCTTTTGCGAGCCTTGTGTTGGTAGACTATTGAATATTTGATCATTAGTGACTTAGAGTTGTAGTTGTTGATGTCGGCGGATCTTTTATGTGTTGTGGTAATTGGTCAAAAGAAGGATAATTGGAATGCTCTTGGTACAGAGGAAACTCTATCAAATTTTTGCCATGAAAATGGGTAGGATATTTAGGTGAGTCAAGCCTTACTTAGTGGAGGTAATTTTTTTATTTTTTTTTTGATAAAGGTAATGTTGTATTCATCAGCATTAAGGATATGCTGGAGACCTCCAAAAAATGGTTTCCACCAAGAGAAAAAAACAAAAAGGCTAATAGATTAGTGGAGGTAATTAAATTGCAATAAAGAGATAGTACAATATTTGACATATAACAATGATATTCAGTTGTTGATATAACTTACCGGTGCACAGCAACTTCTAGGCATTTCACACAGAAAACATATGCGTTAGTGAAACCTTTGTGGCCACAATTTAAACATAGTGTGCCCTGCAGTTAATTACAATAAAACCAATTAAAGATACATAGAATCATTATGCAAGAAATATACAACTAGGCAGAGAAGCCAAGTTTCTTGTTAGAGAGGAAAGAAACCATAGATGCAAAGATTCAGACTAGAGGTATGGAGCACTGAGTAGCCACTAGTCTGGCTCATCTAAATTTTTGCTGAGTTCCAGTTGAGTAAAATGTGTTCCCAGTTGAAGTCATATATAAGCTCACCGAGCTCTTGAGCCAAACAAAGAAAAAGTAAGATCCAGCTGAATTTGTGGATAAAGTGAAAGAATGGTGGACAAGAATATAGAATAAAGACAGACCAAAATTTATTCTGTCAAAGAAGCTGCTTCTAATAAAAGGGAGATGACTGAGTGGAATAAAAGTAACTTTCGAGTTTGGATCATAGGAAAAGTGAGCAGCTAGCTGTTAGCATAAATAACTCATCTAGACAGTGAAAAGAATAACAAAATTGGACATTTCAAGAGGAGGTTGTTATAGTCAATTTACAAATGGAGTTGGAAGACATAGCCAAATATGAAGAAGTCACTTGGAGATAAAGATCAAGGATGTTATGGTTGAAACAAGGTGATACTAAAACTAGTTTCTTTCACAAGATGGCAAACGCTCATAGAATTAATGGAATAACTAAGGAGAATTCTAAGGAAATAAAAATTGAAATTTGAAGTTCTATCAGAACCTGTATGCTAATGGGGAAAACAGGAGTGCTAGGTTCAGCATGGGTGACTCCAAAAACCATTTGAAGAAATATGGAGGAGGAAGAAATATGGCTCCAAAAACCATTTGAAGAAGATGAAGTTCTGGAGATTATAAGGCATGTGTAGGTGAAAAAGCACCTAGGTCCAGATAGGTTTTCCATGAGTTTCTACAAAAGATGATGGTTAATGATTACAGAAGACATAGTGAAGGCCCTGGATCTTTTCCATTACTTAGAAGAAGATTGTAAAAGGTTTCAACCTCACTTATATTGCTCTGATTCCTAAGAAGAAAGTTGTTTTGGAACTGAGAGATCTTAGGCCCATAAGCTTGACTGGTATCTTCAAAAAGATCATTTCAAAGTTACTAGCAGAAAGATTTCAAAAGAAACAATTCATAAGTTGGTGGATGATGCACAAATGGCAATTATTAAAGGAAGGCAAATCATGGAGGTAAACTTATCGCAAATGAATGCATTGACACTAGATTGAAGCAAAACTAGCAAGCTTATGGTGCATTTAGGATTTTGTCCAATTTGCAAATATCAACAGGTGAATAACTTCACTTTATGTGCTAATAGATGGTGGCAGATGTATCGTTATAGCCTATGGGGATCCCCACAATTTTTCATGTAGACCATATGTAAAAATCTATGTTTTGAACCCATTCTTCAAATCCATAAAGATCAAATCTTGGATCTTTCCGAGTTAAAATATAAATGATTTTTTGACATATCCAGGTCCACTGTCATGCCATAACATATAGAGGAGGTTTTATTTATATAAGAAACTTAATAACAAACTGTCCTTTGCATGTAGTCAGACAGCCTACAATCCACAGATAACGTCAGAAAGAAAGTTACCTAGTTGCAAGCAAAAATGGTTTTTCAAATAAAGTTCATATATCTCATTTTCAATCAAACAAACACGGATCTAAGGATATACTGCATATTTTAGCCCAATGCTATATTATTGCTCTACCAAACAGCAGGTAAACAAATAAGTGTTTTCCATAAGTAGCCGGTAAATAAGGGAGTTGTTGCCAATAAATGCAAAATTCCAGACAACAACAAATCTTTGTTCCTTTTCAATGACTTGCAACACAGGTCAAGAAACACAAAAACATAATTCTCTGTACGTGATGGTATACAAAACTAAAACATTCAAGAAAACCCACATCAGTTGGGTGATCAGTAAATAAACACAACGCTAAAAATTAAAAAACATGTCACCAACTCATTCTTCCTCTTTAACATTTTTCACAAGGGTGTGTTTGGTATGGAGGAAAACATTTTTCGGAAAATGTTTCCCAATTTTCTTATGTTTGGTTGGTCAAAATGTTAGGAAAACAAGTTCCTTAAAAGTTAAGAAAATAACTTCCCTAATGGAAGTAGGGAAAACAAGTTGCTTAAGTAACATTTCAAGTTCATTGTCTCCTCCTCACCCACCTAATCCACCACCCCCACCCCTTGACCATCCCACCTCGCGCCACCCTCGAAATCCCACTACTCATCCCATCATGTCTCCATAAACAATATTTTGCTTGATGACATATAAATACTTTTGGGATAATATTTTCTTACTTACATACCAAACAGTAAAAAAAAAAAGAGTAAGAAATCCACTCATTTTCCAAGAAAACTTTTTCTAGGAAATCCTTTTCCATGAAAAATATTGTCGTTCATACCAAACACACCTCCCAGTTAAAAATATAAGAAGCTCATTAAGGGAAGGGACCCACTTTTTATTTTCCTGTGAGCTTTGTTTGGATTAATTTTGTTATTCCACCAAAGAAAAAAAACACAAAACGGTTTAAAAGCTATTTTGAGAAAATAAACCGACTCTATTATTTTATCCAAAGGACATCATCTTCACTAGGGAATTACTTCCTTTCCCTATCAGCCCTAGCAGTATAAAGTAGTAATAATCAAAATTGGAACCCGCTCAATTACACAGAACTGGCAAGAAATCTCTGAAAGAATAACGATTAGCTTAAAATTGAAGCAAGGAAGAAAACAGCGGAAGCACCAAGAAACTTACCATAATTTGGAGGACCCACCGGAACTGTGTGTATGTTCACCGGAAGTAATGTATGTTTGAATGTCAAAAAGATGATCAAGTTTTCCCTCCTCTTTGAGTTCCCAAATCCCTAAACCGCCCACCCCAAAAACCCACAGTAGCAAAACACAAAGGTACCATCTCTCTTTTGTTTATATTATTTAACCAGGGTCAAAAATGTCATTAAATTATGCTAAAAAAAAATTAAAAATATCATCCATTTATATTTTAGTTCAAAAATGTATTTGTCATCCATAAATATCTTTATTATTATTTGATGGGTCAAAAATGTCCTTTTTTAAAAATAAATATATTATTTATTTTCTTTTTAACACATTTGTATGCTAATGATATTCTTTTATTAGGAATTTTGTATCCTACTTCAATTTTTAAAAAAATTCTAAAGAAAAACTTATTTTATTATAATTATTTGTTATTGTAATGATGGATTTATCATGATCTTATATATGACATGTATTATCCATTAAAAGGCTATATGAAATTATTCTATTTTAATTGATAAACTGAGGTTAAGAAGAAAAAAATATTTCCTACATTTTTATTAGTAAAAGTGATTTTAAAAGAAAATAAAAATTAAAATAGGGTTTTTTTTTTTAAAAAAAAGTGATGATTTTATTAAAAACAAGATGTGTTTTAAAAGAAAAAAAATAGTATACTTATTCAAAAAGGGACATTTTTGACCCATTTAGTAACAATAGGAGGATTTCTGGACTAACCTAACAAAGAAAAGAGCATTTTTGGACCCCCATTACCTCAATATTGATGGCATGGGCAAAGGAATAGATTCCCCCTTGTACATCTCCCGAAAAGTCAGTTACACGCTTAAACTATTATGACGATCTATTACACACATTTACTATTTAAAAGTGAATTTGTTTACCTCTGAGACATGTAACACCACTCTCACAATATGTGGTGTATTACACTCGTTGTCACATCACTGCCATGTCAACGCCATGTTAGAAATTAAAAAAATTTACATCTTTTTTTATTTTTAGTTAACTTTTCTTTTGTTAACTATATTTTACACTAATTAATCTCCAATTAATTATTAAAAATATCTAATAATTATATGTTCTTCATAGCAAAATTACAATAAGATGAAATTTTTTAACAATGGCTGCCAAGAACACTAAGGGCCTGTTTGGAAGGACACTCTGATAATTGGATTTGGTGTAATTACACTGTCTTGTCCTGTTTGGAAGGACATGTAATTACTTAGTCAGCAGGTAATTGGTGTAATTGGCAGGGGGTAATACACTCTATAATTCACAGGCAGAAGCTGTGAATTGCTGGTAATTACACGGTGTAATTACCACCTGATTACTTTTTAATTTCTTTTTTTTTTATTTCTATTTTAATTTTTTTGTTTTAATTTTTTTTACTTCTATTATTTTAAGTTCTTTTTTTTAATTTTATTATTCTAAAAATTTGTAAAAGTTTATTTTATATTTTATATTTTATATTTTATATTATTATATTTCATTTTCTTCTTATTCTCAACCTTACTTTACATGATTTTATGTAATTTTTTCATATTATCTATTTCTTTATGCCATGCTTATTTTCTCATTAGCATAATTTTATTATATTCTAATTTTTAAATTAAAATAGAATTTATTGTTAAGTAAGTTATAGACTTACGTTTTCTTTATTAAGAAAAACTAAAACTAAATCATATTTATTGCTATGTTGAAATTTGTTATAAGAGTATTATGTTAAAATTTTTGTTTTGAATTTATAACTTATGTTATATTTTCAGTTTCATTTGTTTTAGTAATATTGAATCTACATTGCACGTCATTTTTTAATTAGAGTTGATAAATTATATTTTTGTCAAACATTTAATAATTTATGACATTTTATTTATATATTATTCTTTTTATCAAACATGCATTTCACGATGTTCGTAGAAACTTCATACTTTTAGTTGTTACGATCAATTCAATTGAAATATATTAATTTGAAAAAATATAAATCAATTATTTTTTCATAATATTAGTTACAGAAAATATGCTTATTAATTAATATATTTTCAGAAAAGAATATATATCTTAAATATTTAATTTAATGTCATTTATAAAGTTTCTTATTTGTCTAGTATAAATTTTAAATAATTAATTTTTATTTTAAAAATTTATTATAATTTTATGATTGCAATTGTGCATCCAAACAGAACATGTGTAATTACACTGTGCATCCAAACATGACATGTGTAATTACAATGTAATTACACTGTGGCAACCAAACAGGTCAGTGTAATTACTAGGCTGGTAATTACTATCCTAGTAATTACACCAATTCCAATTACCAGGTGACTTTCCAAACAGACCCTAATGGAAACATGAAGATGATTTATGGAGTGGAAGATTCTCCCGTTCTCTCAAAAAAGCCTGTCATAGCTGCAACGGCTAAGAAACCCCCAAATTTTTATCCCGCCGATGACATTAAAATATCTTTTGTTAACAAACACAAATCAAAATCCATAATACTTAGATTGATGATAAGTAATTTGCTAAGCAAGTTGAGAATAAGTCGAAGAAGGAAGAAGGAAGAAGGAGAGATTTTTGCTTAAAAGAAAGAGGAGAAAAATGTGTTTTCTCAAGAGGATGGGGTTGAAGAAGAAGAAGAAGAAGAAAAGGCGGGTGGGTTGTGAAGAAGAAGAGATGTGGAGAATGGGGTGGGGTGTAATTGAATTTTGATTTTTTTTTTCTACTTTAATAAATCTGACGCGCCTATTTTTAATTTTTTTAAAATTATTTTGCCACATCAGTTTTAGGGATAAATAAATTCACTTTTAAGTAGTAAAAGTGTGTAATAGGTCGTCATAATAGTTTAAGCGTGTAACTGACTTTTCGGAACAAGTTCAAGAGGGAATATATGTCTTTTCCTTTTTTTATCAACTACGAAAGAAAGGCTTTTTGTTCACTTCATATAGTTTAAAGGCATTTTTTAAAATCATTTTCCATTTTATTTATATGCCGACTTAAATATACCACATGCTAGGAATCCTTTGGAAAACCGAAGAGTTTTTCAGATTTATTTTTTTTTAACGAAAAAAAGTCAATTTTTTTTTAACTACGTGAAATTGAATAAAAAAGAATCCATTAATAGTTTGATAAAAAAAATCTTTGCTATCAATATTTTAATCCATAAATATTCTTTAGTTATTTTGTGTCAAAAATACCTTATTCATATATTATATTTTTTCTTTTTAACCTCATTTTTTTTCTAAAAAAAATTATTGTAACACATTTTTAACCTATATAAGATCATATTAGTCTATTATTAATTTTTATTTGAATAAATTTCAAAAAAAATCTAATGAAATACCAAATATTTTCACTTTTTAATATTTTTTGAGTTGAAGAAGGGTAAACATTTGTTATTATTATTATCCTTGCTTTTAGAATTAAGTTACAATAATCATAATGTCATAAACAAAAATTTATTACATTGTTTCAATTTTAATTGATTAAGAAGAAGAAAAATATTTTTCACTTTTATACTAGTTAATCGGATTTTTAAAAGAAAATAATTTGCAAAAATATTATTTTATTTAGAAAATAATGTGTTTAAAAAGAAAAGAAAAAATATGTTTATTAGGAAAAAAGTGTTTTTCCTAATAAACACCTTTTTGACCCAAAAGTGATGGGCATTTTTGGATCGAAATATTAACGAATGATATTTTTCCTATAGTTTAAAACTATTTTTGGCCTTTTTTTTTACAAATTATAAATAATATACTACAAGAAAAAAGGTACTTCCCAACAATATTTTTTGTTGCCATATATTAAATGTTGTTGCCAAAAGTACTTTTGGCAACAAAACAAAAGTTGTTGCATGTTGTTGCAATAAATGCTGATGCGAAAAGTTTTTGCAACAACAAAATATATTGTTGCAAGAAATGACTTATCGCAACCAAAAAACTTGTTGCCTTACATTCTTATAGTTGTGCCTTTTTAAATTTTCGCAACAAAATCCGTTGTTGCCACAAATTGAACTTTTTACCAACAATATTAATTGTTGCAAAAAATTAGCAAATGGTTAGTTGTTATTCTATTAGAAAGGCTTTTAAGCAACGATAATTTTTGTCGCAATAAAAAAATATATTTCTATACACCTTTAGCAACAATTTTTAAGTAGTTGTTATATACCCAATACTAGGGGTGTGCATTCGGTTTTTTGGTTTGGTTTTACACTATTCGGTTTGGATTTTCGGTTTTTGGTTTTGTAAAAGTGTAACCCAATCCGATCCAAAATAAATTTGGTTTGGTTTGGTTTTCCTCTATTCGGTTTGGCTTTCTTCAATTTGGTTATTCAGTTATGTCAATAATTAATAACATATATAGCCAAAGTAATAATATTTAATCCCTTAAATATACTTTCTAATATAAATCATAAGTAAAACTTAAAACACAACACTTATAAGTATACCTATTATAGATGTAGTTCAAACATAAAAGGGAGAAGACACAAGTACCCCCTAGACTATGACCGAAATCACAGAAACACATCTTATAGATGTAATTCAAACATAAAAGGGAGAAGACACAAGTACCCCCTAGACTATGACCGAAATTACAGAGACACACCTTAACTAAATTAAGGTCCTATTACCCCCCCTTGAACTCATTTTTTTTGTAATTTTGTACACCTTTTGACTTATGTGGCACACCACGCGACTCCACGCAGTATATATATATATATATAATTCGGTTTTTTTTTATTTTTATCTTTTAAAATCCGAAACCAAACCAAAAAACCAAACAAAGTAATTTATTAATCCAAAACCAATCCGAAAAACCAAAAAACCAATCCAAATAAAAATTCGATTTGATTTGGTTTGGTTATTCGGTTTAATCCGAATAGTGCACATCCCTACCCAATACACATTTCTTCTTTAAAATTTAAATAAATATTGAAATTAAAAATTATATAAATTTGCAAAGGTCAATACATAAGATTGATGGCCTAGATATTTACACCTTCCTAAAAAAACTAAATACTTGTGCAAATCTTTACTAATTGTTA